GAGACAAATATGGTTTGAAGTGTGACAAACTACCCACAATTTTGTATGAAGATAATGCAGCATGCATACTCCAGTTGAAGGGAGGATTCATAAAAGGGGATAGGACAAAGCACATTTCACCAAAGTTATTTTTCACACATGATCTTCAAAAGAATGGTGATATCAATGTGCAACGGATCCATTCAAGTAATAATATGACTGATTTGTTCACCAAATCTCTACCGACGTCAACCTTTAAGAAACTAGTGTACAAGATTGGGATGCGAAGGCTCAAGAATGTGAATTGATGCTCTCATCAGGGGGAGTTAATACGCGTTGTACTCTTTTTCCCTTATAAGGTTTTGTCCCACTGGGTTTTCCTTGCAAGATTTTTAACGAGGCAACCAAAAGGCGTATTTCTAAACATGTGTACTCTTTTTCCTTCACTAAGATTTTTTTCCCATAGGGTTTTTTCCTAATAAGGTTTTAACGAGGCACATTATCTATGGACATCCAAGGGGGAGTGTTATAAGAAAAATCAAATTATGGTGGATGTCTACTCTTTCTCCATGATTTTCTCAAATGCTTAATGATATATTCAATGACATATTTCTATGCTTAATGACATATTTTTCTTCACTTTTCATGCCTATATAAAGACCTTGTAATAGATAAGAAAATACACACAATTGAAGAAGAAAATCTTTTCCTTCTCTCTATCTCTATTTCTTGTTCATGTTTTACTAAATTGCTTTTATTTCATAACAACATTTCTTATTCATGTTTTACTAAATTGCTTATATTTTATAACATATAGTAACTTTTAAAATAATATTCGAATAATATGTATATTTTTGTATATATTTGCATGTTATATATTAAAAAAATATATAAATTTTATACACTTTTTAGCTACCGAATATAAATAATTTTGGCCGCGGACTAAAAATAATCTTTGCCTATTTAAAAGTTCAACTAGATCTTTCAAGTATAAACAATATACCCTTTATGGCGTCTCGCAAGACAATCACATAGATGTACCTAAACATTGTGTGTTAGCCTTGTCTGTTTAAAAATAGAGGTTAGCTTCTATACACTAATAATTGTAAAAGAACTTTCGGCATTATCAACAGTACCACTACATTTATAGCATTGTGATTAGGAGATAGAAATAGAAAAAAATTTAACTTTTATATATTATCAGTGTAAAAGAACTTTCTGACATTATAGACAATACTGTTAACTTTTACAATCTTGTAATTGGAGGATAGAGTTGGCCTTCAAATTTTACATGGTCCTAGCAACATTATTGGCTTCCCCTTCCTTATTCTTAAGTAGTTGCATGACATCTTCAATAAGCAATTTGGTATTCAAGAACGAAGATCCTTCTTCTTTTATTACCATTTTCGACATGTGTGCCAACTCCTTTGTTCTTTTTCTTCTTTCTTCACCCTCTAATCCTTTATCCATTAGTTGATCTATTGCTTTTTTCACTTGATCCTTATTAACCAACACTCCATTCTTCTCTTCATTCCAAGAATTAATACTCACTTCAACCCCAACTCGAACCCCAATCTTCAAAACATTTACAATGAATTTCTCATTGTAAAATTGCTCGGCGAACATAGGAAAAGTAATCATTGGTACGCCACAAAAAATTCCTTCCAGAGTCGAATTCCATCCACAATGCGTTAAAAATCCTCCAATGGATAAATGCGATAATATTAAAACTTGTGGGGCCCAACCTCGAATAATCATTCCTCTTCCTTTAACCTTTTCTTCAAAATTTTCATCCCTTAGCCATTTCTCAACTTCTAATGTAAGATTTAGCTTTCTAATTACCCAAATGAAAGGCACATTCGATGACTCCAACCCTAATCCAATTTCTTTCATTTGCAAAGATGAAATTTGACAAAGGCTACCAAAACAAGCATAAATGACTGATTTAGGCTTCATAGAATCAAGCCAACTCAAACAACTATGTTCATCTATACAGATCTTGTTTCCTCTATCAACCATTTCTTTATTACACAATGATACTGGACCAATACAAAAGACTTTGTTCATTATTTTCTTGTATTCATCAATATACCAAGGCTCCAACTCCTCAAAAGTATTAATCAAAGTACCTCTTGCCAAGTCTTGGGACTGTTTAATTTTGTCAATAATACTCTTCATATCTTGAGATTTGTTTGTTGAAGTGCCAATCAACATTTGACCTTTTGTGAATTCAATCTTGTGTGGCACATTAGGTATCAAGAATGAATCCGAATCCAACACAAGGGTTTCTTGTATTTTTTCCTGATTTATTATGTGAGAACAAAAGAGAGTGAAACAAGAAACAGTTTGAAATACATACCTTGGTATCTTGAATTTATTGGCAACTTGTTGAGTCCAAATAAGAGGACTAGTTGAAATAATACAACTTGGTTTTGGTTCCAAATCTTGAATCAATTTCTCTAGTGGTTCTTGCATCATCTCACTAGCCAAAAAGAACTCATTAAACAACTCTAGTGAACTTAGTGTATCTAAGTTTTCACATTCTTGAGGCAACCCAACTTCTTGATTTGGGAAATGAAGAGGAATTAATTGGATTTTTAGATTGGATTTCATAGCATGAGTTACTATAGATTTGTACCTTTGGGCATTGAGGTGTGTGGTGATAATAGAGACAGTCACACCATGCAAGGCTAGTAATTTTGCAAAGTCAGTTAATGGTATAATATGGCTTTGAGACATTAAAGGTATCAAAAGGAAATGAAGTTGTTTAGATAGGGAAGCCATTTTTGGAAAAGCTTTAGTTTGGTTATGTGTAAAGGGGATACTGTTTACTGCTCTATATTAGCTTGTATTGTGGTGAGATTTATAACAATGAAAAATTGTATTGAGATCTATGACAGTCAGTGGCGGAACCAGAATTTTTATCAAGAGGATTCGAAATATTAAAAAGTAAACACACGAACAAGTCAAGGGAGTTCAACATCTATTATTTATAATTAAAAAATAATTTTAACCTTATATATACATTGTAATTATCTGACGAAGGAGGTTCGGACGAACCCCTTCCGCCACCTAGCTCCGCCCGCGGTGACAGATGAGGACAAAATGGACGAGACAAATTTGAGTGAATGAGTGCCAAGGCAATTTTATGTCCGATTAGGGAAAGAGAATAAAACAAAGGACAAATGTGTAGTTAAGTATTGTCCTAAGAATTAGGCTCCAAAAATTATCATGCACTATGGGTTTATCCTACATAATGGAGCAACTTCTTTTTACGTTTTACTTACCTAATCACTTTGTTTTGTGCTATATATGTCAAAAGCAGTTGAATGTTCTAAGAAAACACGTAAATGACAAAAATAAAATCACCAAAGAATTTGATGAGATGGATAAAATCACTTTATACTTATTTAGAAAGGTCTCGAATTCAAACTTTAAAGATAAAGAAATTTATAGTAAGACGTAAATTCAATTTACATGCATTAATAGATTTTGGATACTTGATACATAAAAAAAAGGATGAAAAGAAAAAGAAATCAGAAGTAGAATATATAGTCCTTGCAGTTTGTTACGTAGATAATTTTGATTTGTTCGATTTTTATAGTTTTTACTAATGAACATCGTTGAGCTTACGATGGATTTAAAATTTAATACTAATTTACATATTCATTCATAGTGCTCTATGTATCCTAGACAAATCAAGCTATGTAATCTTTTCCAGTATTAATAATATTATTATTCTTTTAACCAAAATAGAATACGCTACTTAAAAAATATTGGGCATAGTTGAATAGCGTGTATGGCCTATAATACCATAGCAGTCTCTTGTATACGTATCTATCAGTCAAACACACCAAGTTTGACTCACAAAGAAATAGTACTTCCTCTATCTTAATTTTTGTGCTATATTTTCGCTTTTAGTCGGTATATTTTCTTATTTAGAAATAGTTTAACTTTAAACTTATTACTTTACCAGTTGAAATAATTTATAGTCATATAAATATATATAATTTGTTTTAAGTACTGAAATTATTTTGTGATAAACAGTTATGTATTTGGATAGAATTGCTGAAATTGAAAATAAACAGTTGATGTGTTTGGTAAAAATTGCTGATAAGCTCTTCTTTTGTAAATAACCAAAATTCCCTTAATTTGTTTTACAAAAGATTATAAATTTAAAAGTTCCTTGGTTAAAAAAAAAAAAAAAAGGGAATGACGAATGTGAAATGAAGAAAAAGTTAGGAGGTTTACTTTGTGAAAGGAATTTTGTGAATTATAAAATATTATTAAAGATAAAATAATATAAGCTTTAGTCAAACTAAAAGTGTCTATTTAATTTTAATACTTATAAGCACTTTAAATACTAATCAAAGATATAGATAAATCAAAAAATACTTGTAAACCAGTTTAACAATTTTACAAATTTAGCCAAACACCCTCTAAGATTATTGTCAGTTTAAGTTATTCGATCGAAAGCAGGCTATCTATCAAAATCAATTGATTATCACAATACACACTAGCTTGCACCAATATTTTACAAGTTTAATTGACGACAATATCTATCACGATGATTATTAACAAACCAAGAAAATAAAATAAATAAAACCTATTCCAGGGACAATGGTTTGGGCTAGTGGCCCTCTTTGATTTAGTCAGTCTTTTCAGTAGTAAGATGTTGAATCTAAAAATAAACTTTAAAACAAAAAAATTCATATTACTCGCTTCAACCAATAGTTAGACATTCTTATCGAAGCAAAGTTATAAAAGTACATTTCCATACTGCAATTGAAAAAATTAAATCGGTATATGATGCCGACGACCAATCAAAAATTGAATTTATAGTTTGAGTAAGAATATCATTAACGAACTATATCATTGTTATTTCTAAATTTGTTTTACCAATTTTATACCTTTTTGTAGTGAAGCCGAGGTGACCAAACAAAACTAAACACAATATAAATAAATAAATAAATAATAATAAATAAAAAAACAGGTTAATGAGGGCGAACAATTTGAATTGATTAAGGAACAAAATCACGATTAAAGGAAAAATGACAAATTTTTGCAGGCTCTGAATCGTTTGTTCAAAGACGATTGTTGTAACAAAGTTATGCAAAAATGGAAAATTTCTTTTCTTCTGACTACTGCATAGAAATGAGCGCAGCCACAAACAAAGAATAGAATATATAACTCTCAGTTTGCTTATGTTTGCTCTTACATCACCAATTTGACTATGAAACTGAAATAACCACCATAGGAGAAGCTTCTTCTTCAGTTCACAATAAATTAAATAATAATAGAAATAAAGAACCAACGATAGATAACAAGAATAAAAAGAGAACCAAGATTTTAACATGAAAAATCTTTTTTCAGAAGAAAAATATCAGGGCGTAAGATGACTAAAAGGTGATATCATTATTGAAACTTTAGCTTGTAGTCTCGAGAAAAGTATTCAACAGACTAATCCACATTAAAAAGTAAGTTAAAACACAACTTACTATAATCACTAGTAGAAACCTGCAAATTTCCAAAGAACGTTCAAGTCATTGAACGTGTGAAATAAGCTCCACATGGAAAGTAAAAATTGAATACTTTTAATGGTGTGAGATCTATTGAGGATGTCACGACCCGAAAATTGCACCCTCGGGATCGTGATGACGTCTAACATTTCACTTGCTAGGCAAGCTAACGTTAGAATAGTTTATCCATATTAACAGTTCAAATTAAATAATAATAAGGAAACCGAAATAGCTGAAATAAAATGTTGAAGTAAGGTGCGGAAAAACCATAACATTTGAAAAATCTAATACAGCCCGAATCTAGTATCACAAGTGCATGAGCTACTAGAAGTTCTACAAATAGAGTCTGAAATAAATACAACTATTTCGAATGAAATGAACAGTAAATGAGTGTAATGACCCGGCCGATTGTTTAAGTATTACGGCCTTATTTCCCCATTTATTGCTTATTCTGTGTTCAATTATAATTACGTGACTTGTCGAGGAGGTTTTAAAATGAATTGAAATACTTAATTCCGAGATTTAAGGCTTAAGTTGAAATAATTGGTCTGATGATAAATTAAGTGTAAACGACCTCAAAATGTAATTTTGATGGTTTCACTAGCTTTGTATGGTGATTTCGGACTTCGGACCTTGTCCGGATATTTATTTTGAGGCCCGTAGTTAAATTTGGCTTGAAATGGCGAAAATAAGAAATAGAAAGTTTAGAAGTTTGACCGGGGTTGACTTTATTGATAACGGGCTCGGAATCCAGTTCTGAAAATTTTTATAGGTCCGTTATGTTATTTATAACTTGTGTGCAAAATTTGAGGTCAATCAAACTTTATTTGATAGGTTTTGGTGTCGACTCTAGAAATTAAAATTCGTTAGTTTTCGTTAAGCTTGAATTGGGGCGAGATTCGTATTTTTAGTGTTTTGATGTGATTTGAGGCATCAACTAAGTTCGTATGATATTTTAGAACTTGTTGGTATTTTTGGTTAGGGTCCCGTGGGCCTCGGGTGGATTCCGGATGGTTAACGGATCAAAACTTGGATTTCAACAGCTGCTGGAAATATTTGCCTTCTGGCGGAGTTTTGCTCGCAGGTGCGACCTCGCAGAGCGAGTTTTCCATCGCAGAGACAACCAGGCATGGATTGAGGTAGTGATCGCAGAAGCGGGCAGGTAGATTGCAGAAGCGGGTCGCACCTGCGAGTGTGCGATCGCAGAAGCGGAAGGGCGAGAGGGGAGGTTGCTTCGTAGAAGTAGACAACTTCTTCGCAGAAGCGAGTCCGCAGAAGTGGACTTCTTGTCCGCAGAAGTGAATGCAATCGCAGAAGTGTAAGTTTCACCGCAAAAGCGGAACCCCAGATGTGGCCAAGTGCATCGCAGATGCGAAAATGCTGGGCAGTGTATAAATCGAAGTGTCCGAGAGTTTTTCTCACTTTTGGACATTTCAAGCACGGTTTGGGGAGAATTTCAAGCGAGGATTCATGGGAAAATTTGAGGTAAGTCACTTGTGATCATTGTTAGTCAATAATATTGATTTATCATTGAGTATTCCGACTAGATTACATATTTTTGAGGTATAATTGATGTCGGAATATGGTAAAATTGATATGGTTGGACTAGTGGTTAAATGGGCGTTCATATTTTGTATATTTTGTTAGGTTCTGAGACGTGGGACCCATTGTTAATTTTTTAGTTGAATTTCGGATTTTAATTTGGAAATTTAGTATTTTCATATGGAATGGATTCCTATAATTTGTGTTGATTGTATCGAATTAATTGTGACTAGATACGAGGCATTCAGAGGCAAATTCACGAGGCAAAGGCTTATTGGAATAAAATATTTCACGGTTTGAGGTTAGTAACATTTCTAAACTTGGTTCTGAGGGTATAAACCCCGAAAATATGTATTATGTGATTTGTTTGGAAGTGACGCACCTGCTAGGTGACGGGCATGTGGGCATGCACCGTAGGAAGTATAACGTATTTGATTTCGTGGAATTGTGTTGCCAAATAATCTTGGAATTATCCATGTACTTTCATGTGCTAAAGGAATTGAGTGTAGACTCGTATTAAAGAACACGTTTAAGTTGCGTGCCAATATTTTAGGGACCTACAGAGGTTGTATTGTTGTTGAATTATTTGTTTAAATTATAATTTTATACTCAGTCACATCTATTAATTGTATATCATATATCAGTCTCTGTTGTCATTCATTGATACATCATATCATCATGTCGGGTTGATTTTCATGTCATTGAGAGCCCGAGAGACTAGAGATTTTGAGTGATAATTATGGGATCGGGCTGCACGCCGCAACATGTTTTATTTATTTATGCCTAG